TTGAAAAATTATATCCTCTTTAACTCCATGCATTGAAAAATTATTCTCTAAAACTCAATCCATTAAAATATATATTTTTTAAATCCACGCCATAATTTTTTTTAAGACTCCACGCTTAAAAAAAATATTTTCTAAAAGTTCAAGCCTTGAAAAAAGTATTCTGTAAAACTCCACACCTTGAAACAAATATTATCTTGAAGGCCTTGAAGAAAATTGTCTAAAACTCCAGGCCTTGAAAAAAATTGACTAAAACTCCAGGCCTTGAAAAAAAATATTATAAGACTCCACGCCTGGAAAAAATTGTCTAAAATTTAATTCAGGGTCTAAACGACGACGTGGACCTGCATAGGCAACTTTTGTCATAAGCCATTACAATATTCAAATGCCATACTTGAAAAAAATCGTTGAATAATGTAGCTGAAATCATCAATATAGGGAAGTACTATTATATGGGGGCTATACGAAAGTTTGAAACTGCACAGGCAATTTTCTACTTAAGGCTACAGTAGCCATTACGAACTTCAAATGCCAAATTTGAAACAATTCCGGTGATTAATGTTGCTAAAATCATCAAAATACCGAATATCAGGAGATACCGTTATATGGGGGCCATACCAAAACATGGCTATGGATCTACATGGCCCATTTTCAATGCCAAAAATCCTGCAGACATAGTATACATTTGAGTAAAATTGTATCAATCTACTTCATTTCGTTCGGAAGCTAGAGTGATTTCCACAGACGGACAGACAGATAGACGGACAGACGAACGAATTGAATGAATTAAGATTCATATAAGAAACATCTCCAAAAGCAAATGTTAAACATAATACCTTCTGCTTTCGAAAAATCAGAGGCCACAGAGGGTATATCATTTGATACGGGCAAAACGTGCCTAATCGAAATATCACTTATAGACCCTAGCTCTCTTTGGATCAAATCTGTTTCAGGATATTTCGAGTCAATCTTGATTGGTGCGCCCGATTTGATCCAAACTTGGTATATTTAAATATTAATAACAAATTAATAACAAATTATTTTATATTAATAACAAATTTAGATCAAGTTCGAAGATGGACAATATCGGTCCACTCCTACCTGCAACACAACAGATAAAATTTTTCAAGTTAGCGACGAAATCAAAGTAGTCGCTAAAACCTACTGATAGGTACCAACGTTCTCTGTTTTATATAAAAAATTTTGTGTTTCAAAATTTGTCGGTAACTTAATAAATGCGTCAGAGAATCCAACTACTGATCTAAGTGTAGAACATATCGGTCCACTCCTTTTCGTACCTTTCCCACAAAAAGTTACAATTTTGATTAAGAATTAATCTCATAAAATTGGAAAAAAATTCGATTTTTTATACCCTCTGCCCTATTGCTAGATTTATACTGTCAAAACGTGCCTAGTCCAAATAACGGTTTTAGACCCTAGGTCTCTTTGGACCTAATCCGTTTCAGATCCGTCCTTCTGTCGGCTGGTGCGCACGATTACTCTTGAAGGGAGTATCCGATTTGGTCCAAGTTGGTTCATCGTATTGTTATTATTAAACTTAGATCATGTTCAAAGATGGGCAATATTGGTCCACTCCTTCTGGTACATCCCCCACAAAAGGTCGAAATTCTCAAAAAAGATTATTTTACTGTACAGAAAAAGAAAGGATAATCCGATTTGCTTCAACTTTGCAAATCCTAATATTCGCATCAGTGCTAGGTAAATGGACACTATCGAAAATGGACAATATCAGTCCACTCCATCAAGTACCTCCACAAAGGATCAAAATTTTTAATAATTATAACTTTTATAAAATGTGATGTAAGTTTCCGATTGTCTTTAACCTACATACATCAAAATATTTTTATTAACCCAAGGTCTGGTGTTAAGATGAACAATATCGGTCCACTCCTTTTGGTACCTCCCCCACAAAAGTCAAAATTTTCAAAATATATTTTTTGAACAGAAAGAAGAAGGATATTCCAACTTTGCATATCCTAATATTTGCGTCAATGATAGATCAGGTGTGAAAATGGACAATATCGGTCCACTCCTTCTCGTACCTCCCCCACAAAGGGTCAAAATTTTGAAGCTCATAAAATGCGAAATTAACATCCGATTCCATTCAGCCTTTGCACACCTGTATAGTTCTATCAACACAAGACCTGATATAAAGATGGAAGGGATCTGACCACTACTTCTGGTGACTCCCCCAAACATAGTCAATGTTTTGGATAACCAAAACGATTATAAAATTTGAGATATGAATCCACACATCCCATTATTTCTATTAACTTAAGATTTACTGTGAAGATGGGATATATCGGTCCACTCCTTCTGGTACTTCCCCCACAAAGGGTCAAAATTTTGAATAGCCATGAAGCTCATACAACGCGAAATTAACACCCGATTCCATTCAGACTTGGACTTCTCAATATTTCCACCAACATAAGATCTGTTATACAGATGGTAGAGATCCAAACATTTCTTCTGATACATATCATATCATACATATCAAGATTTTGATAAACAAAACTCTCAAAGAAAGCGAAATAAGCATCCAATTCTCTTCATACCAACATTTTTTTTAACAAAATATCTGTTGTGAAGATGATATATATCAGCAAACGTCTTCTGGTACCTCACCCACAAAGGGTCACAATTTTCTATTTTCTTGCGAAACAAGTCAGGGATTCCTTACAACTTGCTACATCTAAATGTTCCTCTCAAACAGAAATCGGAAATTAATATGGACTTTATGATTTAAATAAAATTAAATACATAAATGTTCCGTTTTCTTCTAATTTTGCCCATATTAATATTTTTCTCTGTATTAGATGAAGAATGAAAATGGAATACTTCGGTCGATTATATCTGCATCTCCCATACATTTCAACATTTTCTAAAAATTGTCACATATCTCATATAAAGTGAAGGAAGTAGTCGATATAGTCCAAACATGGCACGTCGCAATATTTATATCATATTTATTTAGGTCCGATACCAAATGGACAATATTGGCCCATTTTGCCGGAACCTACTCCATAATAGGTCAACAATTTGAATAATCATAACAGAAGTCAAAATATTTTTAAATAATCGAACATTGCCTCAGGGTATACATCTGTCGGCAAAATCGACTGATACTTTTTTATGTGTATTTTGGCCTATTTTCATAATCTGTTGGATTTTTCTTGTAATTATTTTTTGTGATGCACCACAGTGTGATAAAAAATTGAGCTCAAAATTTCGATGATATATTTTATTGCACATTAACATAAAATATTTATATACAAATTACAACTTAAATCGTATAAAACATAGAAGCACTGGATTGAAGCTTAGCTTATGTCTAAATGATAACATGCAATTGTAACAATTACATCTAAATATTATGATACGATATGAAGCCAATGGAGGTATAGTGCAATGGTTAACATGATATCATTGGAAGATCAAAAACAAGACGTTATATTTTCGAGGAGCTTTAATAATAAAAGACCGTACTGCAAAATAATTTTTTTTGTCATTAGTTGTAGTACCCTTTAAGATATAATACCGAATATTGGGGAAAATTTTGCAAAATTTTAGCCTTCTATCTCAATTCGTTCGAAATATAGCGTGATTATAACATACATACAGACGACATCGCTAAATCGACTTTTACTCTGCTCAAGAATATGGCATGAATCTGACATGTGTGTTTCGAGGAGTTACCAGCGGAATGACAAAGTTAATATACCCTCCTTAGTATCGTGGAGGGTATATAAAAATATTTAGGTATGACTCTAAATGATGTAGAAGCTGACCTTTAGCTCCTGTTTCTGTATGCCAATATGAATACGGCTGCAAAAGAAAAATACAATTCAAAACCAGTAAAGAAAGCCTACACCACTTTACTAATTTAGCTTTCTGAGCTGTATTTGATATATTTCCCTGAAAATCGTTGTTACGGAGTGCATATTACGGCTATGGGTAACAAATATAACAAATCGGATGAACAGTATACATGGGAGCTATAGCTATATTTGAACCGATCTTCACCAAATTTGACATACTAGCTTCTAGACTTAATTAGGTCGTAAGTGCCAAATTCCATCCCATTTGAACAAATATTAGACGTTTGGTGCACTTAAAAAGGTAAATCGGACGAAGTTATATATGGGAGCTATTTCCAAATCTGAACCGATCTCGATAAAATTTAGCAAACGTATTTCTGAGTTGTTTTTGATAGATTTCCCCAAATATTGTTGTTACAGAGTGCATATTACGGCAGCGGAGGACAAAAATAACAAATCGGATGAACAATATATATGGGAGCTATAGCTATATCTGAACCGATTTCGATCAAATTTGGTATACTTATTTTCATGCCAAAATTGGTTGTATGAGCAAAATTCCATACTATTCGGGCTGATATTACACGTTTGGTGTACAATAAAAGGCAAATCGGACGAAGATATATATGAGAGCTATATCTAAATTTTGACCCATTATCTCCAATTTCAATAGGGTTCATCCTTGGGCCAAACAAATTATTTGTGCAAAATTTCATCTGGATAGGGCTCTAAATGCGAACTGTACTTTGTTTACAAAAATACATGGACAGATGGACGGACGGACATGCATAAATCGACTCAGAATATAATTCTATACAGATCATCAAAAGGAACTATGTGTCTATCTCGTTTCCTTTTTCCTGTTACAAACAAATGCACAAAGACATAATACCCTAACTACCCTGTGGTGTAGGGTATAAAAAGTTCTTTAAACTTGTTGTTTTTTTTTTTCGAACTGAGTCGAATACATGAAAGATTCACTTGATGTGGTATTCTTCTTTCAACTTCACTTTCGTTTCGTCATATAGGAAAAGCCTTTAAGGCTAGTTTCCACATCGTGTTCCAGTCATATCCAAAGTGATTTTTGCACATATTATAATTCACATTTTTGTAGCAGATTTTTAACCGCGCCTAACAATTTTAAAATTTAAACAAAATGGTATATAAAATATATGGTGTATAATGGTAAATAATATACAAATATTAAATTTATATTACACTTATAATATGAATATATAAATATGTACTATAAACCATTTTCTTCAGATAACAAATTGTGTGAAGCGCCTTAAAGTATGTTATAAAAATGCTTAACATAAATGTAGACAAAGTAGCTTTAAATTTGACTATAAAATTAAATGTATTCTAGCCTAAAAATTGAAAAACAACATCAAAACCAAATTCCTTGAACGTGATCGTTAAACGGGTTTTAAAAGTTTCCCCGATGCACTACACCTTCACAGGCCTCATACCTTTGCATTCACATAAATACTAATAATATTAATAATTGTTTTTTATATGATATAAAATATACAACAACATTAAAATAAAACCTACAAATATTGCAAATAAATTCGCACAAATTGTGACGGTTTACCAACAGCAAAAAAAAAAAAACGAACGCCAAAAACCACTTCCATGAAATTTAACCGAATTTAATGGACTTTTCAGTGGATTTATTGCTACTGCCGCTGGACGAACTATTGCGATTGCCATTCTTTAAAATACCTCCGGCAGTGGTGGCAGTGCTGGTTGGGCTGTGATTAGAGGAGCCCCCACCACCACCATTTATGGAGGTCTTTTGCAATTTGTTTGTCATCTCGGAAACGCTGAATGTATTATTGAAATTGACATTTTGATATTCATACTGCGGCTGTTGCTGATGATGATGGGAGGAATGCTGGTGTTGATGATGGTGATGATGATTATTATGTTGCTGCTGATGATGCTGCTGTTGTTGTTGACTTTGATGTAATGGACAATTACGCTGATGTTCCAAAACGGAACCATTTGTCTTCTTCAATTTTGACCTTGACAGCGTGCTGTGTAATTCACTTTGCAGCGTTTCATGTTGATATGTGGGCGATGATGATGCTGATGTTGCTGCCGATTCCTGACGTTTTGCTGTCGACCCAATAAAATCAAACTTTTCCGGTTCTTTTCTAGCACCTGGCTGTTGATATTCCCCAATTGTCACGGTGCCCAATCTTAATGTTTGTCGATTTTGATTGATGGGCAGTGGCACGGTGGTCGTGTTCCTATTGGAATTCCTATAGAGTTCACTATTCTGGCCCATACCATCATTTGCGGATGACATTGATGATCTAAGCGTAACACCGGAAGACGTAAGATCATTAGAATACAATGATGATGACGATGATTTTGCTGAATTAAACGCCTGGGATTTCTGTGAAAATTGTTGGGTCTTCAAGTTGTTATTCGTGGACGGTGGTGACAACTGCATGGGCTAAATGGAAAAAGAAAGCAAAAGGTAGATAAGCAGATTATAACTTGATGATTAATTGTTTATATATTCTATTTACCGGTGGTTTTGGTATGTGACTGATGTTGTTGTTGGTGTTATTGCTGTTATTTATGTTGTTGCTGCTGTTGCTGCTGTTGTTGTTACTGGTTTCTTGTTGTGTCTTTTCTTTTGTTTTTTCCGCCGTCTCAATTTTACTTGGCGGTCTTGTGCCTTTTGCCCGATATGTTGTTGGGTCATCCATCATCGTTGTACGTTTAAGAGCTTCTTGACGGTCCTAATGAATGAAAAAGAAAATATATTTTAAAAACAAACATTAAAATCTTATTCATTTTATTTTTTTTTTTTTTCAACATACAAATAAAACAGTAGTCCGTCACTAACGGTTTGAAAGATAAATATTATTCGACTCAAGTCGAGAATATAAAAGTCTTCATTTTGGTGAGTTTTCACAAATATTTTTAAATTTTTATTTCAAAATTTTTGACTTAAACTTTCAAGTTCCTTCCGAAAGGTGGGGGGTATTAAAAATCGGTCTGTTGGAACTGTTTTTTTTTTTTTTTTTTTGAGCGGAATTTGAAGTAAATCGTATGTGTATTTCACATTTAATAAGAGTTTTAATTATTCAAAATTTTGACTCCTTTGTGCTGGAGGTACTTGGTGGAGTGGGCCCATATTGTAAATTTTCATACCTGACTGAGCACCGATAAAAATATTTGGATTTGCAAAGTTTGCACAAAATTGGATGATACTTTCTTGTTCTATAAGGTTTATTTTTTTAGAATGTTGACATTTTGTGGGGGAGGTTCCAGAAGAGAGGAGGTACTTCACTACATATTTAATGTTTGTAGAAAAATTTGATTAGAATTGGATGCTTATTTCGCAATGTATGAAAGTGATAATTATTCAAAATTTTGACATCCTTTGTGGGGGAGGTACCAGAAGGGGTGACCGATATACACAATATCTTGTGCAGTGGAAAATGTTGGGATGTGCCGAGTTTAGAAAGACTACGATGCTCATTTCATGTTTTATGAACTTTATGATCATTAAAATGTTGACCTATTGCGGGGGAGGATCCAGTAAGAGTGGCCCATGGATCATCCTTTCTTTTTTATGTAGCAAATTATTTTCTTTAAAAATTTTGAACTTTTATGGGGGAGGTGCAAGACGGAGTGGACCGATGTTGCTTATCTCTGAACTCGATCGAATACTCCCTTCGAGAGTTATCATGTCCAGTCCGACAAACAGACTGGCGGACGGACATCCCTAGATCCACTCCAAATGTCCTGAAACGGATTTGGTCCAAAGAGACTTAGTGTCAAAAATGGTTGTTTCGATTTTGCTCGTTTTGGCCGTATTAAATGATGTATACCCTCTGTAGCTATATGGCTGAGGGTATAAAAAACAAGTAAAAAAAATCGTAAGGAATCGAAGGAATTTGCAAACTTTCAAAAAAAAAAAAAAAAAAAAAAAACGTTTGAAAAATACTGTTAGTCATAAAAATATCGAATATGGGGAGTTATCGTTGTAGTATTAAGGGTCCCCCAAAGACATGAACCTGCATAGGCAATTTTCTGTCACAGATTACCCATTAGGCTTCAAATTTCAGTGAATGATGTAGCTCAAATCCTTAAAATACCAAATATAGGGAGGTACCTGCAGACAGAATACACATTTCAGTAACATTTTATCAAAATTTCCACAGACAAACAGACAGACGGACATCGCTAAATCGACATAGAATTTTATGCTGATCAAGAAAATATATACCATCTTTGTGGGGTCTAAAGTGTAAATTTCGAGGTGTTACAAACTGAATGACGGTATAAAAAGTTTATATTGGGAATTTATGTAAAGTAGATCATGAACCAACTATGAACCTTATTTGAATGCATATCATGGCTTTAGAGTAGCCACAATTTGGGAACTATAACCAAGTCAGTAACGATTTTCAACGTATCTGATGTCGGGTATCAAATATCATTCTTGTGCAGTGCATATTACGCATGTGAGGGACTTAAAACGCCAAATCGGATCTATAGCTATATCTGAATTTGTTTTCACTTAATTTAAAGTACTTGCTTCTAGGCTGAATTCAGTCGGAAGTCATTTCATTTGGGCTGATATTAGTCATTTGGTGCACAATAAACCTGATATCGGAAAAAGATATATATATGAGAGCAATACCAAATGTGATCCGATGTCGATAAAAGTTGACAGAGGTTTTCCCGGCTGTATCTGATATCTGATACTAAATACCATTCTTGTGGAGTGCTTATTACGAATGTGGGGGATTTAAACACCCAATCTAATTAAAAATGTATATGGGAGCTATAGCTATATCTGATCCCATTATCACCATTATCTCCCATACTTGCTTCTAGACTAAATTCGGTGGGATGTACCAAAATTCAGGTCATTTGGACTGATATTACACATTTGATGCACAATTAACCTCAAATCGATTGAAGACATGTATGGGAGCTATATCTAAATCTGATCCAATCTTGATAAAATTTGGCAGAGGTATTTCCGAGCTCTATAAAATATCTCGTACCAAATATCATTGTTGCGGAGTGCACATTACGCATGTGAGGCACTTGAAACCCCAAATCGGCTGAAACATATATATGGGAGCAACAGCTATATCTGAACCGAGTTTCTCCAAATTTGATGTACTTTTTTCTAGACTGAATTCGGTGGGATGTACCAAAATTTAGGTCATTTGGACTTATATTGGCCATTTGGTGCACAATTAACCCGAAATCACTTGAAAATACAGGGTTGCCCATATTCAACGGATCCATCTGCCAACGCCATAACTTTTGACAAAGATGTCACATAACTTAATGTCATACCGCGTTTGAAGCGCCAGTCTAAGCAGATTTTTACCATGAACCAATACACGCCACGCGAGCGCTCCGAAATAGTTGAAATTTACAAGAAGTCAATTGTGAAAACTCAACGTGCTTTTAAAACATGAAAAAATGTGAGAAGTGCGCATTCTAAGAACACCTCTTTCTAATCCGAAGCGGCCATATAAAAGTCGACCAAGGCGATCGGCCGAGAATATCGCTGCCGTACGAGCCAGTGTTGAAAGGTCCCCAAGAACATCCCAAAAACGCCGTTCTCAGCAGTTGGGCATGGCCACTTTACAACGGATTATTCGCATTGATTTGCATTTGTTCCCGCACAAAATTCAATTGACGCAAAGAATGTTGCCTGCGGACAAGCCTTGTCGATTGGAATGGGCCCAAAGGGCCTAAAGGTCCGTCGAATATTAGCAACCCTGTATATTGGAGCTATATCTAAATCTGATCCGATTATCACTAATTTCAATAGAGCTGGTCCTTGGGCCAAACAAATATTGTTTGGAAAATTTCATCTCAATCGGATAATAAATGCGATCGGCATTTTGTTCACAAAAATACATGGACAGACGGACGGACGGACTTACATGCATAAATCGACTCAGAAAGTGACTCTGTGAAGATCCTCCAAAACAACTCCCTCCCTTCTCCATGTTACAAACAAATGCACAATGACATTATACCCTTACCGCTATGTGGTGTAGGGTATAAAAATAAGTTCGACCTATTTGAGAGAACAAGGCTAAAATTAGCTTTTGGTTCTCTAATACTCGATCAAAAACCCTTTCCATTCTTTTAGCCACATTATAGCGCCACCATCTAGTTGGTGAGGGAGGCGAAAAGGGTAGGTCGGGATGTGCTGTCTTACTTTTGTCTAAGACCTGCAATCGCTTTCGATGATAAGATTAATCAAAAAAAATATAAAATATTTATAAACAAATGTTGAATCATACGCCAAGTAATTAGCAACACAATTTTTTTATCAACAACAACAACATCAAAACTTGGCTATTGCAACGCAGCTGTTTTGTGTTGTTGTTATTTCGATTTGCCGGTAAACAAACGGGGGCTGTTGCCAAACTCCCCCTAGACACATACCTCATAAGTACTGAACGTAACCAAACATTTTCCACTGCGTGCTGGTTTCATTGTAGCATGCACCAGCGTGGAGCTGGCTGATGACGATGTTGATGTCGCTGCCGATGCCACTGTTGGCGAGCTGGATGTTGTTGTAACCGTGGCTGCTTCATTATCACTGGAGTTTTGCATTTTCTCCTCACCTCGCGCTTTGTTACACCGATATCTTAATTTGAAGTTGAGTTTTTTCTGTTTTTCTGATGGTCGTTACACTACTTGTTTTTGTTGGTATTTTGTTTTGCTATCTTTCGTCTGTTTGTTTTCTTTTCTCTTTTTCTGTTTTTTTTTCTTTTTTTGAAATTTAAATTTAATTGAATTGCCGTTTGGGTGAATGACAAACCAACAACGTCACTATCACTAGCCGTTAGATGGATTGCTAGGTAGCTGGCTAATATTGGCAGGTAGCTGTTGCTTGACTTGGCTTGGCTAGCGGACCCAACTCCTTACACTTCAACGTTTCGAATGGAAATAAAAAAATTGTTAATTATATCTATTGTTTTTGTTTTGTTCGAAGTTGTTAATTTGTCTGATTTTGCTTCGCCTCTCCACGACACCTTGGAACTTTGTTATCAACAGAAAAAGAGTGTGAGAGTGCTGTGAACAGGTTGCTGGGTGGGGATACATGAGAGTGGGAGAGGGCGGAGGAGTTGGTGCTTCTACCACATATTCCCGAGTTGTTAAAACGACCCGAAGAGATAAGATAACATTGGCTGGGAGATGTTACAGACCACACATCCGTTATACCAATATCATGAGTCAACCAGCCGTCAATCAGTCAGCCAGCCAGCCAGGCAGCTAGCAATAGAAGTTGGTTGGGATGTGAACTAAAATATCCTGTTATTTCAATAGCGATTATGTGATATGACATATTTTTGTGTGTATGTTGGTGTATTCCATCAAGCGTTACAATAACAATCCGCTGTGTGATAACGCAACTCAACGTCTGTTATTTAATAATAATAATTCAAACTCACAACAACAACAATAGCACAACAACCCAGCGCAACATGAAAACAAAAGCTTTCTTAATACCAACTGTCAATTAATTGTTGGTAATTGCCAGCGATACAACTTTTAGTGGCAAGTGCCACTACATCAATGTCTATGGAAACGCAAAATAGGGATGTCGGTTGGGATGGGGTAACAAAAAGGCCAGATTTGGGGATTTCAAAAATTCTCGAAATCTTAAAGAGTATTTTTACAGTGAATAACCTTCAATTGCGAATCATTAAAACAAGTATAAAAAGCAGAAAGTTCGGCCAGGCCG